TGGTCTTGGTGATAAACATATATGGGAGGGTCCTTAGAGAGTACATTGACATAGACTGTGTAATCTTCAAGAGGGATATAGGTAGGTGTCACACAGCCAAGTGAAGAGGTAGGATTGAGACTGTGATCCTAAGTTTAATTTAAACAGAGTCTTAATATATAGCCCTTTGCCTCCTGAGTGCTGTGATTAAAGGCATATGCCACAGTTGGCATGTGCCTGGCCAACTGTAGTCTTCTTGAAGGGCTACTTTTTAGTTAACTTTCTGAACAGGTTCTATGGTCAGCTCCGTATAAGGCACTGGCTGGGTCCTAGATGGACTGTTAAACATGGTCCCTCCCCTCACAATTCTGCTGACATCTGTCTTTGAATTTCCTATGAAGCCATACATGGTAGCTGACAGAAAAGGAATACTCGGTGAATGCTTACTGTATTATCCCGTACTCCTCATATGCTGAACAATGTTGAGCAGCATGGGCAAGTATATATTGATTTCATTTTTGTGATGATCAGGCAGGCTCATCATTATTTCTCAAGTCTTAGTTTGACAGGTTTCTCTATAGTGTTACTCCCTGTGTTTTATTTTTGTTTTTGCTACTGCAGAACTGTCTCAAGTTCTTTACAGTGCTGTTCCCACATCCCCAGTGAAGATCCAATGACCAGCAATCTCCAAGGCCAGGCTGGGCTACTGGAAATAGTTAGGAAACCACTGCCTTAGGGATGGGTCTGTTTGGGTCAAGTTGGATAGCCCTTTGTCCATAGCCTAACATTGATGGCTGATGCTGCAAATGCTGCCAAGGTGTCCTCTAGGAAAGCATGTTCTGGAACTCTCTTATCTTTACGTTCAGTGGTATTTTGCCTGCATTAAGATCTGTGTGAGAATGTCAGAAGCCCTACAACTGGAGTTACAGACAGGTGTGAACTGCCGTAAGGGTGCTGGAAATTGAACCCTGGTCCTCTGGAAGCACAGCAAGTGCCCTTGACTACGGAGCTATCTCTCTAGCTCCCTGGACCTCTCTTCCAGAGTTCCCACTAGATATTTTAGGAGGCTCCAGTCCAGCAGAGACTGGGACTAGATTTATAAGTCAGTGGCAGTATCTGCCTAGCCTGGTGTGAAGCACTGGGTTTGAGGCCCAGCACCATAAAGCAAATTAGAACTGCCTATTTCACAAACTGGGTTTTAGCAAGTGTTTGTGCTTTTCTTTTCTTTCTCCCCCCCTCCCCCCTTTTATTTTGAGACAGGCTTTTCTGTAGCTTAGGCTTTTTGCCTGGAACTCATTATATAGCCAAGGTTGGCCTTGAACACCTAGTCTCCCTATTTCTCTCTACCTCCCAAATTCTGGCATCATAGATGTATAACACTATGTTTGGCTTTGTGCTTTTCTTTATGTGTACACTTTTCTATATGCTTTTATTTCATAATTAAAATTCTTATATTATTAAATGAAAATTAATATTAATGAAATTAAAATTTGATACTAAATAAAATTTTTATTAAAAAGTAAAAATTAAAATCCTGCCCCCAAGCTTGAGGTCAGCTTCATCATAAGGACTCCTTTTTTTCAGTATGTCTTCTCACAATTGAGGATAATAATTGTGTTTCAGCCCTGTCTTTACTACACTGGAATTCTGGTTTTGAAGAGAAGTCTAAACTCAGGGTGACATCAAAGGTTGCTTACAATCTAACCCCAGCAGACATCCTGCTCTGCCTCTCACACCTCTTTCTAGGTACCCAAAGCTACTATTTCCTGAGAAGTCTGTACACTTTGCATATCTATCTTGGTCCACTTCTCTCTCCTTCCCCAAAGCTAGCTCAAAATTTAAATCTTCCCTTTTCTCACCCTTTGTGCAGTCACTCATGCCCTCATTCACAAACACATTGAATATACTGCACTGACAGTACATTCCTGTTTTTTGTTTTGTTATTTCCCTTTTCTTTTTGAGACAGATTTGGCTATCCTGGATTCTGTAAACCAGGCTGGCTTCGAACTCACAGTTTCCCTGCCTCTGCCTCCCAAGAGTGTTGAGATTAGAGGTGTACACCACCATGTCTGGCTACATTACTGTTTTCAGTGTAAAGTGTTTTCCTGTCCCCTTCTGTCCTCAGTGGGGCTCATTTGAGTGAGTTTGTAAGGAATATTTAGCTACCCCTCAAGGAAAAGGAGGCTTATTAAGGGCTTAGCCTTTTATATCTCAGTGTCATGGAAACATAATGAGGGTCTTTGAGTGACAATTGAACATTGTAAAAGGATTACCATATTTTGTTGGGCAGGCATGAGAGGCAACAGGGACTGACAGACATTAGTGGCTAGAACCAAAGGCAGACAGAAGTAGAGATTCTGAGTATACTTTAGAGGTAGAACAGGACCTAACAAATGACCTTGACTTGCAGGGTGAGGAAAGGGTATGGATCACTCCCAGGGAATAGGTTGGTAGCTCCACTTAACAGAGGTGAAGGAGAACAGTTTTAGAATGAAAGCTATTTGAGATTCATTAAATTTAGAACACCTATTAAACATTCTGACACAGTGCTGGGGGGTAGGAAGAGAAGCTAGAAGAGGCAGAAAACACCATTTCATTAGTTAAGGACGTCAGCCTACAAATGGAAACTTAATTTTCACAAACTTAAAACAGCTGTGTCATTTACTGGCTCATACAGCCCTTACCGACTTGGTATTGTGGGAGAGGTGATCAGGCTTTGGCTGTAGATCTCTGGAATAGTAATCTTAGCTCTACCCTGGCTGTAGGTTGAAGTCCTAGAAGAGAAAGGCCAAGGCTGGTATAAGCTTGGAGCCTGCAGGACAAAGGTGATATTTAAACCCACGTGAATGGATGAGATCAGCTGATGGTGGCAATTTAAGTAGAGAACACAAGGTACAGTAAAATCTACAAGAAAAACAAAATTCAGAGAATCATGACTTTTGTTCCTGTTAAAGCCTAAACCTATTACCAGCATCACAGACTGGTGCTTCTCTGACAGAAAATTTTGTTTTCATTAAGATTTTCTATTCTATATTTAGAACGGCTCATGGAGTCTTACTGCATCCCTGTGAGGATTACATACTTTCATTTGATATTTGAGCAAAATGAAGTTTAGACAGGTGACTTGGCTAAGACCATTAACCCCTTAAAGGTGGAGCAGGCTGAGAATACAGCAGTGATAGACCTCTTGCCTAGCATGCCTAAGGTCCTGGGTTCAAATCCCTAGTACTGCAAAGTAAAATGGAACAGGCTTGAACTAGGCTTTGTATTGCCAGCTGCTTTGCTTTATTACTCCACATTAATCTGGTGTTTACTATTAACAGTTTTAGGTCTAAATTTTGTATTTTTCCCCTGCAAGTATCAGAAAAGCTAATACTTCCATCGTAAGTGAAAAAATTATGAAAACATTTCATAATTGTAAGGCACTGGACAAATGTATACTTGAAGGCCAGTTGTATTAGCTTCTTTTCCTTACAAGTTAGGAAGAGCAGACTGTTTTAAATAGAGAAGGTACCTTTTTATTCTTTGCAATAATTCTGTATTGTGACAGTGGCTGAGTTAGGGACCTTTCTAAAAAAGAGAAGTGACTAGAAGAAATTTTGGGGACCAATTCTCTCAGGGAACAGCACAGCTGAACATCAGACCTAACTTGGCTTAGAGGATGTAATGATCTTTGCAATTTGATCTCAACTTCAACAAGAACTCACTGGGCACTGGCCATGATCAGGGGTCTTTTCCTACTGCCCTAAACAAGGACCACCGAGATCAGATTTTGATGTTCTTGGCCCTTTGAAAAGCCAGTGGTAGTTCATGAGCATCAACATGCTTGACATTCCTTACATCTGTAGAAAAATCAAATGTTCAAGAATAAAATGTTAACTGAGGGGGCTGGATGGTTGGGTTAGGAGTACTTGCTGCTCTTCTAAAGGACCCAAGTTTGGTTCCCAGCACCCATGCTGGGTGGCCCACAGCTGTTTTTCCGGTTTCTTTAGACGTGCGCACGTGCGTGTGCGCACACGCACACACACACAAATAAAAGCAAATCTTCTTTACATCATGATGTTCAATGATAAGCTACCTTACCACACCTAACCTCCACTGCTGCCAAGAATGAACTTCTTGCTCACTACTTTCTCAGCATGTTTTCTTTTTTCACTTATGTAACTTTTAGATCTGTGCTGTCCTTTAGGGAAGCCATTAATCACCAATGGATACTGAACACTGAAAATTTACATGCTGTTAGATACACTTAGATTTAAAAAATGTATGCAAAAGCATTCAGTAATATTTAAATATCACTGATATAGCAGAGTAAATAAAAACATTGAAACTTCACCTGTTTCTTTTTAAAATGGCTACTAAATTTAAAATACAGTTTGTATTTTATTTTTTGCACTTTAGTTTTTTGAGATAGGGCCTTATTATCAAATGCATGGCCTCAAAATAACAGCAATTCTCCTGCCTCAGCTTTCCCTAGTGCTAGGATTAGAGATATGACCCACAATGCCCAGCTTTGTAGTTCTAATAAAGGTGTTCCTGCACATCATTACTCACCTTTCAATCCACCTTTACACTTTCTTGCATGCTGAAATGACTGAAAATTCTCAGTGTGGGGGTCATACATCTGAGGCACCTGAGCTCTTAGTGATTGTCACTAATCAGTTGGCAAAGAATTCCAACTGATTCTTTGCTGTCACAGGCAGCAAGATTATCAATCATGTGTGGCACACAACAAGTCAGAAAATGTCTTCGTGGTACCCACACCTAAAAGAAAACCCTTTGACATCCTATCCTTGTCCCTTCTACATTTTTTTCCTTCTAGTCACTAAAATGTTAGCTCTTCCTGAGGAATTGTTACTCTCCAACCCCTTGGTCCATAACTAATCGGTCTTAGTCACTTTACTTCTGAAGTAGTTTCTACATAATTTCCCAGTTCCCTGTCCTGCACTCCTTCCATACCATATACTACAATCAGAGTAACACTACAACTAGAGTAATTAATTGTCACAGAATTCTTTGGCTTAAAAACAAAACAAAAAATCCTTCATTTATTTCCACACTATCTATACAAACAATTCTTTAAAATTAAAGGCTTCCCCCCCGCCTTTATTTTAGAGAAGATCTCACTATGTATTCCAGGTGCTTCTGAACTCCATCCCTTGCCCTCGGCTTTCCAAAGGCTGGGATGTCAGGTGCGAGTCACCATATTCAGTTTTCAAGGCTTTTCACACTTTTTCTTGGTGCTTTCCCCTATAAAATCTGGACTAGAATGGGTTAATACATGTAAAACACTTAGAATCCTGTCTGGCCTACACTTAGAACAGTATGTTTTAGCTATTATTATTATTAAATTTGAACTCACTGTATATAAAACACTGCTGTTTATTTTCCTTTTTGAACAGTTCATCCTCCAAAGTGAGGAGTACTTTAAACTACCAACAGCTATTATAAGGCAAATGTCATTGCCTTCCTAGCAACTTAAGTAACCTCCTGCCATTGAAAAAACTGTAAACAGATGCTTAATTTACCACAAGAAAAAAAAAAATCAAATTTCAGACTCAATGACGTAGAGATGAAAGGCAGTATTTCTTTCATTTGAAAACCAGCTCAGTGGTGGCAGAATACTTGCCTAGCATTCCCATGGCCCTGAATACTGTGCCTACCACGTTTTGAGTGAGAGCAGGGAACACAGCAAAATTTATAGAACATATTAGAGGAAAACAAACCCTGGAAAAAGATATCAATAGGTTCTGGACTTAGGACAGAACTCCAACTTGGACTCATATTAGGCTAACCTGGAAACATTCAAAAATATTGTCATCTGGATCCCATTTTGATTCATGGAATCTAAGGTTAAGGCTCAGGCTCAGTTGCATAGGTGATTTGACATTCCATCAACAATCCAAATTTTTCACAGTATGACAATCACCGGTCTTGTCAAAGAAATGTTGGCTTAAGAGGGTTGGACATTTGTGGCATGTTTTTCTCAGTGGTCTCATGAAGTATGTTTTTTGAAAACAGAATACTCTCTCACTGCTTTATGAAGAATATGTGTTTATGAGAAGCCTTCCAAAAACAACCTTCCCAAAGCCCCAACTATTGGAGTTTAAGGCTCGAAAATATATATATATTTATAAGTTTCAAAACAGAGTGACATATGTAAATATAGACTCAACTTAGTTATAGTATTTACAACTTAGATTTTACAACTGAAAATCAACATTAAGCCTGTAAACGTAAAAAGCTGGCAATTTGTGGTTATAATTTCAAAAAGGTCAAAAACAGTTTTACCTCAAACATTTTACAATAAATAGCACCGCAGTACCTTCTCTAAGTATTACTGCTCACAGGTTAAATTATCCCAACAACTCAGGGTACCCAAGGTTGAAAGTACTTGGACAAAGCACTGTTTACAGGGCAGTGGGGACCAATGGAAAGCTCAGGTCCTCAACACCTTACAGCAAAGCCCCTTTTACCCTCCAGTCCTGAGACAACAAATCCTGTAATTCTCCCTCGTCGTCACTGTCCACATTCTCCTCTTCTTTTTTCTGCAATTCTTTTATGGTCAGAACCTCTTTAAGTTTGTTTTTTATTTCATCCTGGCGATTCCGCAGCTTTTCCACCCGACGGTAGCACTCTATCTGCTCATCAATCTCTCCAATCTGCCGGTCCAAGCGTCCCTCCTCATCCTCTTCGGCAACTATAGCTTCGGAGATAGTGTTGACTTGCCTCATAGCCTTTTGAAACTCGTCCCACTCTTTGTCCATCTGATCTTTTGGGGCATCAACCTTCCGGACCTTTGCATCGACCTCAGGGTCGTCGAAGAACCCTTCTGGTAAGGCCTCGGCAGTGTTCTCTCTCCTTTCTACCACCTTTTCTTGTATTTCTGCCTTCTCAATTGACCCTGAATGAGGAACTAAGGGGGCCTTGGGAAGATTTGTATCAAAGGGATCGTTTGGCAGCACATTGCTTGTCGTCTCCCTCGGAGAGGTAAGCGAATATTCTCTGCCCTGTGCATCTGAAAGATGTTCGCTGCTGTCCCTTCTTTCTTCTCCACCTCCCTCTTCTTCCTCCTCCTCTTCCTCATCTTCATAATCAGGGAGTAAACCGAGTCCGGAAGGTTTACTGGGGGTCGCCCTAGCAGCTTCCTTTCCCGATTTCTCAAAGTTGGCGGACGACACCGAGGTGGAGGGCTGTACCTGAGGCCCCACGGAGACCTTGCCTCTTTTGGCGTCTTGGCTCTCCACATCCGTCGCTCTCCTCTTGGTGGGCTGAAGCGCTGTGCTGGCGGACGGGCCCTGAGTTGTTCCCTTGGCGCCTTTCAGCTCCGCTACTCTCTCCCGGTGCTGCTTTCCCAGAACATGGGTCTGCCACAGGAGCTCGCTCTTGACCGGAGTGTTACAAAGAGCGCAACTCAACTGCCCCAGACGGTTGTACTTGGCGAACGGGGATTCTATTCTCTTCCGGTTGGTGCTCAGGCGCTGCTTCTCCTTCATCAACCGCCTCAGCTCCTCCTGATTCACCACCCGCTTCCCGGCCGGAGTCCGAGCAGAAGCGGAAGACGCCATGTTTGCGCCGAGGACTCAGGCGGCTCTGGCTTCCGTCACGGCGAGGCGTGAGGCGTCATTTCCTGTTATGGTGCCGATTGGCCGAAGCTCGGGAGTGTGGGCGTGGCGCCAGGGTTCGGGGTGGTCAAGTTAGGGGCTGGACCGTTGAACCATGGCTGCGATCAAAATTGCCAACCCTGGGGCCGAGGTGACACGGAGCCAGGCAGCCTTGGCTGTGAACATATGCGCGGCCCGAGGGCTGCAGGATGTGCTGCGGCCCAGCTTGGGCCCTAAGGGCACGCTGAAAATGTGAGATGCCGCTAGGGTGTGCGGGGTGTCGCGGCGTCCTCTGAGGCTGCTGAGGTTCAGTGAAGACCTGAAGCAACGCTGACGCACTTAGATGCCCGATTTTCCTCCCTCTCATTCCTTTTCCCGTATCTTTGGCCCCTTTGCGGAGAAAAGACCCTATCAGTAGAAGCTGTGACACCCTCTCTTTTTCACTAGGCAGCCTGTTCATACTGTGGTTCACTGGAAACTTAAGTCTTGAAAACGCTTCTGGTACTCCCTCCTCTCTCCTGCTGGAGACGAACTTAGCATTGTGCCGGCGCTCAGCCGACGTTGGGATGCAGCCCCGCTGTAGACAGTATTGTTTTGACGTGTGTTGTGCTGGCTTTGGAGCCAGGCAGGTATAGGTTGACCTTCAAGTTCCGTTATCTTCAATCTGTTAGTACTCGGTCAAGTTCTTGTAACTCTCTATACCTACAGTTCTTCATATTTATTCATCCATTTGGATATACGTCTATTTAGCACCATTGCTTATTTTTACAGAGAAAGAAAAGAGGGAGTGGGGAAATCAAAAGGTCTCTTAGGAAAGTGAACTCTCAGAGAAATAAGCAAATTAACATTAATAGTAAAGGAGTTCACTTAACACTAGATGCTGAAAAAAAAACAGATGAAGTAGTTTCTGTTCTTTTCTAAAAAGATTGATTTGTTTTATGTTTATTTGTGTACATCTGTCTGAGTTTATACACATCAGGTGTATGCAGATGACCCCAGATGTCAGAGGGTGTCACATCCCCAGGACTTGAGTTTTAGGCAGTTGTAGGCCGTCTGATACTGGTACTGGAAACCAAGCTTAGGTCCTCTACAAAAGCAATAAGTGCTTTTAACTGCTAAGCCGTTTCACCAGCCCTTAAAGTGATATGGTAGTGACAGATTTGCCAATTATATATAGATGCTATATAGATCCAAACGATTTTACAGGGGAAAGGGTCCAATTACTGAAGGAAAAGCCTCTCAAATAACAGATGTTTGATCAGAGTTGTAGAATGATTTGAGCAGTTGGTAGAAGGAATCAAGCCTTCCTGGTGCCGTAAATCCATGAGAAACTAACATTATACTTCATCAAGGGAACTGAAAGACCTACTGTGGGAATGATGGTTGATGGATCAGGAGAGTTTGGGAAAGACCAAGTATGTTACTGCTAACTTACTTTGATTTTTATTCTAAAGATGGGGAAGAACATAAAATCATTGAAGGGACTGTTGATCAGGAAACTGAGTCACACTGCGTTTTAGAAAAATATAACATGGATAGTTGATTCAAATTTGGAAACAAGATGCTGTCTAAGCAGTATAGGAAAGATAATAATAAAATTGGAGAGAAGTGGTCTAAAGGTGTTTAAACTGTGGAATTGACAGAGCTTGGTGATTTAATAAATGCAAGGGATGAGGCAACTAAATTTATTGAGTGAATTATGATATTCACCAACATAAAAACCTATAGGAAATTTGCAAATTTGTACTTTGTTTTATACTTTTCATTAGGCAATGTGTATAACCCATCAGCTGATCTTTAAACCCATAAATGCCCCATTTGGAATGAGATCACTCTAAGGTCATCTGGGAGAAATAATTCTGTGATATGCAAGCAGCAGTCATTACCACGGTATTACTCCCTAGTTTAATGTAAAGTTTCCGAGCCCAGTTGCCTGTGTTTAGGACTGTGGATGGCAAGAACGAGAATGTTATTTGATTCTTGGTTTGTGGAGTTAATAAGTACCATTGTTCATTTAACAGGCTTGTTTCTGGGGCAGGTGACATCAAACTTACCAAAGATGGCAATGTACTACTTCATGAGATGGTGAGCTAACACTCTTCTTCATTTTCTTTTCTGAGATAGGATCTGCCTGTGCAGTCCTAGCTGGCCACAAACTCACAGCCCTCACCCCCACCCCCAAGCCTCTGCCTCCTAAGTGTTGGATTCAGGCATTGGATACAATGCTCAGCTGCTGTTGGCTTTGATAATCCTTACAAGCCTTAATTAAAAACATGGCCCATGGGCTGGGAACACAGCTCAGTGGTAGAGCATTTTCCTAGCATGTGCAAGACTCTTGGTTGGGAGGTGGGGGGCAGTAAGGTACACTCTGTATATTGTATGCAAATTTATTTATTTAATCTGGGGTAGGGGCAGGCTAGAAAGATGGCTCAGTGATTAAGAGCGATGGCTTCTTCCAGAAGACCCAGGTTCAGTTCCCAGAACCTACATGGCAGCTCACAACGTTCTGTACCTCCAGTTCCACGGATCCAACACCCTCACATAGCATACATGCAGGCAAATCACTAATGCACATAAAATGAAAAAAAAATTATTTTAGCTGGGCTTGGTGGTGCATGCCTTTAATCCCAGCACTTGGGAGGCAGAGGCAGGCAGAAGTTTGAAGCCCACCTGTGTATAGATCATGTTCCAGGACAGACAGGGCTACAAAGAGAAACCTTGTCTTGAAAAAAAAGTTGTTATTATTATTATTATTATTATTATTATTATTATTATTATTATTTTGTAATGCTAGGGTTTGTGCGTTGGGCCCTCATATTCTAAGCAACTGCTCTTTCCCACTAAGCTATATCTTCAACCTTACAATTTGTATTTTAAAAGATTTATTGTTTTTATCTGTATGAGGGTCTAGGACTCATTTTGTAGACCAGGCTGGCCTCAAACTCACAGATATCTACCTGCCTCTGCCTTCCAGAGTGCTGGGATTACAGGCATGTGCCACTGCGCCAGCTTCAGAGCAGACTCTTAATGGCTAAGCTATCTCTCTAACCCAACAATTTTTTTCTTGTTTTTGTTTTTTGAGCAAAGGTATGCTCCAACACAACCTGCCCACAATTTGTATTTTTAAAGCTGTCAGCTAAATACTGCAATCTTGAGATATGGTTGTTGGATTAAACTTGAACAAAAATGATTTTTGGCTATTTTCAAATGTTTGTAGTCTTAATAGCTTAGAGATACTTATAAATTAATAACATCTTTTCAGAGCACTTCATTATAGTCTTTGTAATCATGGAAAAAGAAAAAAGTCCTTTTCAGTTTACATAAATATATTCATCTTTGAGACTGAAGGGCTTAATTTCTTCTTGGAAATGTCATTGCATTTTGAAGCAAAGATTTTCATAAGATGTTCAAACCTCATTAATTCTCAACCTTAAAACTTTAGATTTGACATTTACTAAATATTGATAAGATAAGCTTGTAAATGTGCAACATGAAGTTTGTTTTTTAATTTTACTATTGACCCTTGGGTTATCTTGGGTTTAGTGGCCTTCTTTAACACAGTCTCTCTCTTTAAATCTGGTGTTTTCCTTTTCTAGCAAATTCAACACCCAACAGCTTCCATCATAGCAAAAGTGGCAGCGGCCCAGGACCATGTCACAGGAGACGGCACTACCTCCAACGTCCTGATTATTGGAGAGTTGCTAAAGCAAGCTGATCTTTACATTTCTGAGGTATTAAAGTTTCACACTACTTCAAAGCAAGTACATTTTTTAAAGTTTAATTTTAGAAAAAAGAACTAATTTTAATTAGTTTAATTAGACAGTTATAAATGGAAACTTATTTTTTTTTGCCAAAGTAATGGCTATTATTACAAATATATACTTAAAAAATATAAAATATTTAACGATATATAGAAAAGTTAAAAAAAAACCCTCCCGAGTACCCATGAATCATGCTTACAAAAGAAAATGTAACTAATAAAAGTTGAAATAAAATTTTCTTTCTTTAAAAATAACTAGGGAAAGGGTTTTACTTTGTGGATGTCTTTTTCTAGTCCCCTTTTTTCCTATAAACTACTTAGCTGAATTCCTCTCTTCATTAACCTATGAAATCATCATTCACATTTCTATATCTGTGCCTTTGTTCAAGTGTATTCTTTTCCCAACACTACAAATGTTTTTTTTCCCCTATAATTATTTGAGTCTTCCCTCTTACTCAGAGACTGTCTCAGCAAAGCATAACCTGATCAAAGTGGAGATTCTGGCTTCTTTCTGTTCCAAGAATTATTTGTTCAGTATCTGTAACTTATCTTATTTAGGATGATTTGGGCTTCAACAGTGCGACTAAAGCTCTCCTAACTTACAGAAATCATCTTATATAAAAGAACAGTCAAGTCTGTGGCTGTAAATTTAAAAGTTCAATCAGCAATGAGGTTCCAGGTCCTTTTGATCTCTTAGCTCTTGTACTCACAGTATGGCTTCATCCTGAGATGGGTCTTGAAGGTGGGACTGTCAGAGGATATCATGTTACTGGTTCTCCTTGGTAAGGCTCAGCAGGAAAGGGCAAGACAAAGACATTCGTCCAGTTCTAGCATATGAATCCTTCCTCAGGCCAACCTTAGTCACATTCTCTTCTTAAACTAATAACCATTGTCAGGGGAATTGATTAGGCTAATCAATCTAGACCCCATTGCTTAAGCTAGGCTTAAGGTTCCCCTGAACAGGTAAAAGATGGACACCTCCCAAAAATTAGGGTTGGGTGAGGGAAAAAGGAGACTGGCAATGGTGAGATGTTGGCAGATACAAAGCGCATATCTGAACATTGATAAAATGAAGGACAGGATGTGGTGAAAACACCCAGGAAGCATGGAGATGCTCTGATAGCTGCAGAGGACAGGCAGCATCCAGGTGAGGAGCCTGAACACAAAGTCTTTGGGATGAAATGTGAGGTGCGTGGCGTTCCAGGCCAAAGCCCC